AGAAATGTTAGTACAATTTCATGAAAGAAACACCAAGTTTATGACTGTTTTTTGGGTTAATTTCAAAAGATACCTTAAGAATTTAGTCTATTTAGAACTAAGGACCCTTTATGTTTGAGAATTAAAATCATCATAAAATAGTCTTGATGTTTGTATGATACAAATATATCCACTCAAAATAAGTTTATTTAGTTAACCATAGTTAAATTTGAAAAAGATTGTATAATTAGTTGTTAGCAGGATTTTGATTTAATTTAAAATAATATCTATAATAAAAAATTAAAGTTGATTTGATGTAAAAATAGGAGAGAGATATGTGAAGTGATAGTTAAAATTATGTGAGTGAATGAATAGTGAATTAAAATAGATGTGGTGTGTAAGAATGAATGATTGCTATTATTATTTAATTTAAATTATATTGATAATATTGAGAATAGTGGGGTTGAGTTAGATTTGAGTATGAATTAGGTATGAATTGAGAAAATTTATAAACAAACAAACTCTCAGTACCTGAATTCCAGCCCAACCCTTTTTAACATCATCAGCAGTTGAATCAGACTCGTTAGCCCAGCCCCACAAGATCCTCCTTTTCTTGCTCGGGTCATAAAACGATTTCGACGCGTAAAAATTGCCATAATCGTACCTCAACCCGTTCCACCCATCAATCATGCCCTTATCCGGAACGTACCTATTGTTCTTGGTTGAGTAACTACCCAACGTGTAATACTCATACCTCGTCACATCAAGACTCACTTTCATCACATGCTTAACTCGTGGCCCGTAAACCGACGTGTCGAGCCCATTTGTACCGTTGATCGAAACCGGGTAAAAATCGGGACACTCCCAATTCCCGGTCCCGGGCGTGGAATGTAGGGGATGGTTGGCTTTCACCCAATGCTTAAAATCCTTACTTCTGTACAAATAAGCAATCCCTCGATTATTCCTTCGCCCGCCTAATGATAATCGCCATTGACCGTCTGGGCCCAACCAAGCCGTTGTTGGGTCGCGGAAGGATGTTTTGTTGATGGACTTATCTGGGGCGATTAATGGGTTGTTATTGGGCTTGGCCCATTCTCGGAGGTATGGGTCGGATAAGTTGGCTGGGACCGCGTAGTTTTGGACTTGTGTGTTTGTTGGGTCGACAATTCCGGTGTAGAGAATAATGGGCTTGTTACCGGGGAGGATCGTGGCCGAGCCCGACCAGCAACCGAATTTGTCGAAGGGTTTTGATGGGTATATGGCATTTGGTAGTCTTTGCCAGTTGATTAGGTCTTTGGAGACTGAATGGGCCCAAACAATGTTGCCCCAAACAGCCCCTTCTGGGTTGTATTGATAGAAAAGGTGGTAGATTCCATTGTAATACATTGGTCCTGTAATTATTATTATTATTATTATTATTATTATTATTTAAAAAAATTAAAATGATGATTAAAAAATGAAGCATTTGTTTGATGGAAAAGGTGAAGGAACATGTGAAATTGACTATGTGGAAGAATTAGAAGAAAAAAATAGGAAAAATATTGTAAAATATTACAAGTTGCAAAGGTTAGAGATGTGCTCACCATTTGGATCTGATTGTTGACCATTTTTGAGGTTTAATTATCATCACCCACATGAAAAGGAAACATGGAAAGTTGATTAGTGAAACAAGATAGATTTCATCAAGTGATCAAAATTCAAACATATAGTATATTTTTTAAAGTTTGTGTTTTATTTAGTTTAAAATTATTATTATAGAACTTTGGGGAGAATTTCCGGTCTCGTTACAGAACTATTCCATCGAAGTTTGTAAGTGTTAGATCAACTATCACGACGGTTACATGATGATCTAACTGTTACAAATTTCGACGGAATAATTCCGTAACCACACTTTAGCATTTCCCAAAACTTTGAGCCCAATTTGAGTTGACCACAAAATTATTATACAAAACTTTGAGCCCTTTTTTTTCTTTTTTTTTTTTTT